CCGACTCAAAGTACAAGTTGGATAAAGGCTAGGCCTAGTTCTAGTAGTTTTCTTAGAGATGAAGTTAACTTGATGGGCAAACCAGTGTTGTCTGTAAATAAGGCATCCTACTCTAGGGTTTTAATATAGAGAGAAGGAGAGAGATAATATTCTTGTAATTAGGGTTTAATAAAGGGTGTAACTAGGTTCAAGGGTATTGTGAGAGAGAGGGTTTGACAGTCTTTGTCCGTATAAAAAATTATAATTTGGAGGTGATAGTGGATTATTTTTGATCCCGTAGTTTTTCTACGTTGAGGGTTTTCTACGTTAAATATTGTGTGATTCTATTTGTTGCGTTTGGTGATTTTGGGATTTTTACAAGATCTAAAAAAAATCCTGCAAGAAGTAGACCTGGTCCACTCTGACCTGAGTACTAAATTGATATATTTTATTACTTCGGTGACAATAAGATATACATAAAGTGGAACACAATGACAGCAAAGGTCTATTTTTTGGCCAGGCAAAAATTTTCGATGAGATCACTTCATGTGAAGAGTCATGTGCATATTACATAGCTTAATTGGGCGTATGTGGCTTAGATTAAGGCACTGTTTGGCAACAAGAGATTGTGTCTTATCTAAGAGATTGTGTCTTATTGACTTGGTCAATAAGCTAGTAGAGCTGTTTGGTGACTAAAAATAGAAGGAGATTATTTTGGAGATTGTGTCTTTTGCAAGTACCTTTTGAAAAGCTACCTCAAGTAGCATTTGTCTTTGAGAAGGAGCTGCCAATTTTTTTCTTCCGTTTTTGCCCCTAATAATTCTAATTTTATATCAATAATATTACATGTCTTTTTTAGTCATTTAACAAATTTAAACTGGTTGTACAGCTACTTTTGCCAAACAGCTCTGTCAATCAGCTAGCTACACAACTATCAGCTTTCAGGTATAATTTCATAGTTTTCAGCTAGCTTAACAGCTTTCAGCTATAATCTCGCAGCTTTCAGCTAGTTTTGCCAAACAGAGCCTAAGTGCGATATTAACTTAGTGAGCACCTTTTGAGCCCTACTTTAAAAAAAAACTTTCATCCCCACTCTTTTGAGCCCTAATGTGAATGGACCACACTCAATTATAACTCTAGAAGGATGAAGAACACCTAATTTAATCTCCAATTTCAATAGACCAAATCCAATTAATCCTAAGAGGAAGAAGAACACTCAATTTAATCCTTGCTCTTTTGAACCCTAATTTGAGGGGGAAAACCACCTTTTGATCCACCATTTAAGCCCTAATTTGAATGGACCGCACCCAATTTTAATACTAGGAAGATGAAGCACCAAGTTCGATATGTTCTCAATTGTCCTAATCCATATTTAATGATAGGAGGAAAAAGAACACTCAATTTGGTCATTATTCTTTTGAGCCCTAATTTGGGGGAAAACACATTTTTCAGCTCAAATAAATGAGCCCAACTAACTGCCACGTCAGAAGCAACATCAACATCACGTGATGTTTTGTTTTCCAGAAACTTATCCCTGACCAAAAAATATGTTATCATCACGTTTCACTTATACCTTGTTGTCACTGAACTTAGAAAATATACTAAGTTGATATTTAGGACCACAAAATATACCAATCTGATAATTTTGCCCTTTTGTAAAATCCAGGTGGAAGTAAAATTTCAGATAACCCCTTATATATTGTCCATTTTGAGATGACCCTCTAAATGTCATAAATGTAACGATAATCCCCTGTAACCTTTGGGGTTTGTCACATAACCCCTCAGACGTTTTCAACCTTTTCAATACATCTCCTAGTTGATTGACCGCCAAACTTTTCAACCTACCCCCTTAACTTCAATATTATTTTAAAAAAAACCTTAAAATTACAGTCGCCACACGTCGTTGAGCGATCACATTACGGGATGGTACTGTGTGGGTGTGTATGGGGCTTCTGTGAGAAGCCCTGAAGTGCAGAAGAAAATGCATTTATACAGTTTAGAAGAGTTAAATGTATGGCCCAAGCTTCAAGGGTGTTATGTGAAATTTACCTAAATTAAATATATTATTATGCTAGCTGGACCTAAGGTAACAAAATGTTCATTCAAACATGAGACCAAGTAATTCCTTACAAGGCTCATTTGACTGAAGTGCTTGAAAATTAAGGTAGGCCCCGTTTGGCAAAGGGTTAATGAATAGGGGTTAAAGAGAATGATTAATGTACTTAGCCCATTTGATAATCCGAAGAACTAAATTATTAACCCGTTAAATAAGTTTTATTTTAATGTACTTAGCCCATTTGATAATCCGAAGAACTAAATTATTAACCCGTTAAATAAGTTTTATTTTAGCCCTTATGATCAGTTTTAGTGTTTAGGAATAACAATGATTTTGACTATTTTCTTTATAATTAGAAGGGTTAACTCTTATTCAATCTAAATAGGAGTATTTGTAAACCCCTCATTTTGAGGGGTTAACTCATTTTAACCCCTCTAGAGGGGTTAACTTAACCCTTCTATATTTTTTATGTTTGGCAAATTATGGAGGGTTAACTCACTTTAACCCTTATATAGATTTGTTGTGTTTGGCAGGTTAAGAAGGGGTTAAGTCTCCTTAACCCCTCACTTAACCCTTTACCAAACGGCACCTATCATCATTTGAATAGAATTTTTTTTATTGAAGTAAATATTCCTGGTCAATAAGTTGACTTTTGTTCCTTTTGAAATGATCATCAGATAATATAGTCTGAGCGAAGTCACCGACTAATTGCAACAAATTGATGAAATTATAGTACTGATTAATTTAATAAATTACGCCTTAATTTTCGAGCAAAGAAAATGAAGGAAGACAAAAGTAAGCAAATACTACTGGGATTTCTTATTAAATATGCGTATATAATAGTGAATTAAACACGTATTCAAGCTCTATATATAGTACTTCAAACTCATGAAATTTTCTTGGTGAAGAAAATTTCTCCTTCTATTTTGAAGACAAATTCTGAGCTTAGGACCATGACTTATCAAAAGGCAACTATTTGTACCAACTCTTTGAGGTTGAACTTTTTTTTATTGTAAATTTCACAAAATGATCATATATACACCATTACAGGTTTGGACAATATTATCATAAAAAAAATTTTATGTGAGAGAAAACATTAGAAACTTTCAAATCGGTAGAAAAATGTAGCATACTATTAGGAACTAATTTTATGTTAATATTTGAAAATCTGCAGTTATCAAACAGTAATACAAGGTTAATGATAGTTCAATGATTTTATCTGAAAATTTACCTTACTTTGTAAAAGTTGTCTATAGTTTAAAATAGTTTATAGTTCCGTAAAATCCGTATATCTAATTAAGAACCCGGTCATGCCTTTCTGAAGGTTAAGCCCATGTCACATGTGCTTTTCACAATATCTATCCTTTGACAGCTATTTAGGCACGTGTCACAAAGAGTGGAGTCATTACGGGGAGCCAGAGAGGATAATTCCACACATTGAACAAGAACTTGTTTACCAGATAATCATTAATTAATACATAAGATTAGGTTCAGCTAATCACTGGATGACCCCCATCAATCTCTCCAACCTTTTGTAATTAATTCGGAATAACTCAAATCTCAGTGCCTTCACCAATTAGAACTGTAGCTTTCTTCAAATTTGTTTTCTCCACTTAGCAAAGATTCCTAGTTACTAGACCATGAAACAAGTCCTTATCCCAAATGGAGGGGAAAAAAGAGATGAAAAGCTGTAGAAAATTTGCAAGTTTTATTCCTAATGATATAGGTTCAATATAAAAGAAGTAGCTACAGTTAGATATTCCAAAACTTCACTACCATTAAGATAAACGCCCTTTTTTGACAGAAAATAATCTGAATTTTAGAATTTTTATTGTCCTGTAAAATCAAACAAACTTCAGCATATGTTTTCTGTAAAACTTGTGATATATTTACATGTATAATATATAATTAATTAATAATCCTAAGTTAATCCGGTGCCCATTTGGAAAAGATCATATAGATTGGTGTGCCATAAAAATGAGCAAGTATTAATCACATTCAACTAGCTAACACATGTTTCAATCAGACTACACACTAACTCGACCCTTATACAATGACTTCTCGTCCCCTTGTAGGCCGAGACAAAAGGCGGTCGTTCTCTAACCGCTCGTCGACAGCCAATCACTATCACATTAAATGTATGGTCGGAGTCATCATTAGACCCCAGCCGAAAAGTCTAAAGATTCATCGAACCCTGTCAGCACCTTACTCCCCCAGTCACCATCACATTAATCACAAAGGTGACTTATACTACCCACAACCAACACCTGTAAAGGTATTGGCTGACTAAGCCAACTACAAAGACTCGCCCAAGATTACATAAGTGTTCTTATCAACTCGGTATAAATAGGCACATAGCCTACTGACCAAAGATATGCAATTTCTGCACACTTAGAGAGAACTATATTAGTTTCTTTCTTTGCTTCAGATCAGATCTAACTTGATCGTCAGAAGAATCACCGGAAAACCTAATTACTCCAGTCCTCTAAAGTGTTGCATATATGTTGGACTCTCCTACTATTAGGAGATCAGCAATTAAAGAAGATGAAATGACTCTAAGCTCTTTAAAATGAGCTAGGAATTCCATTGTTAAGCACATGTGCATCAACACATATGGCCCTCTACATAATGGTACATACAAGAAGGACATTGCGAAAACTATGGATTTAACTTGAAAGTTGCAATTGTCAAAATGAATGGTCCGATTCAATTAATACTATAATAATCATCACACTAATACAATAGTCTAATTGAACTCATATTATATATTAGTTAGACTTGAACGTGGGTTTGGGTCTACATTAAATTTTTTGATGGGGAAGCCTCTATAGGACTTTTTCCAATAAATTAAAATTCTCTCTCTCTCTACAATATCATTCTCTCTCTAAAAAAAAACGGAGGAGCTTCTCCGTGAAGAGCCTTGACATTCACGTATCTTAGGCTTGGCTTGAGGAATCTCTCTATAAGTGTGCCCCTTTCTCCTCTCTGCTCTTCTCTTCTTCCTAAAAAATCCACCTCAAATCCACAACACACCTCTCTCTCTCTCTCTCTCTCTCTCTCTCTCTCTGGTCTCCAACTATTTCCTCGAAGTAGCCAATAATATTAGTTCTCTCTCTAAACCATGGATGAGCGTTTATACTTGCCTCCGGGCTTTAGATTTCATCCCACAGATGAAGAGATCATCACTCACTACCTCTCTCCGAAGTTCCTCAATCCTAGCTTCTCTTCAGTAGCCATTGGAGATGTTGATCTCAACAAGTCTGAGCCGTGGGATCTCCCAAGTAATTAACCGCAATACCTTTTTTTTTTTATTCATTCGTCTGATTTAGCAAAATAAGCTATATAAAAAAAAGATTATGTGACTAGCATGACAAGACTCATTAATCACTGTTCTATAGTGTTGTACCCGTGGGTAACTCATTTAGCAAAATGAGTTGACTGTACATATAATTTCTCCTTTATTATTATTAATTTTAATTTTTTTCCCCTACTTTTTTTTTTATTTTTTTTATAGGCAAGGCTAAAATGGGAGAGAAAGAGTGGTATTTTTTCTGGCAAAGGGATAGAAAGTACCCAACAGGGACGAGAACAAATAGAGCTACAGAAGCTGGGTATTGGAAAGCAACAGGCAAAGATAAGGAGATTTTTAAAGGGAGAGGGGTTCTTGTTGGAATGAAGAAGACACTTGTTTTCTACAGAGGGAGAGCTCCTAGAGGAGAAAAGAGTAATTGGGTCATGCATGAGTATAGGCTTGAGGGCAAAATTCCCTTTAACAATCTCCCCAAGCCTTCAAAGGTATGTGGCTTTCTATCTTTTTCCTTCCCTCTTTTTTTTCCTTCTTTTTTTTATAATTTGGAATATTCTTCTATAATTCTATTAACATCTATTTTTTGAAGAAAAAGTTTGCATCTTCAAACAAACTTATCCATTATTTAATGGATGCTCTTGATTAGCTAAGAGTGAAATATGAAAGAGCGCAAACGCATAATAGTTTTCTATTTTATTTTATTTTTCATTTTCTTTTGTAATTTAGGATATTCGTTCCTGTAAAAAAAAAGTATTTCTGGATTTTTGGGTAGCTGTCTCTGCCATTTAAGTTGGATTCAGATACTCTCTGGTTCAAAGGGCATCAGAGCGTTAAAAAATATACAATTTTTGGACCAATGCACGAATGTCTAAGTGATCCAATATTTGATATCTTTTTGGTGTAATATTAACACTAAGTGCGCGTTTGGGTGAAGGTTTTGACCTCGGGTCTTGGGCAGAAAGCCTGTCAAAACGTCAGTTTGGCAGGCTTTCTGCCCAAAACGCCTTTAAAAGAGGCGTTTTGGGCAGAAAGCCTATCAAAACATGACAAAAAAACTTTTTTTTTTCCAACCAAACGGGCCCTAACAATGGAAGTTGTCTTCTTCAAAAAAACTGCTTGCTTCCCACAATCGTTGGATCATTTATCGGACAACTATATATAACTCATCTTAAATGTATTTTTCCATTATATTTTGTATACCAAAGATCCGTTTCCATGTCTTTTAATTCTCAGAATAACCTGAGGCTCTTTGTGATTACAGGAAGAATGGGTGGTGTGTAGGGTGTTCCACAAGAACGCCGCAGCCAAAAAGACCCCAATTATGCCTGAGTTTGCGAGAAGGAACTCCTTCGCTCATCTCGTGGATTACTCCTCAAATCTACCTCCTCTCATGGATTCAACTACTTATAACTTCAACTACAAAGATGACAGCGACGTCTTCGACTTCAAAGGAATCCTAACAAACACTGCACCAATGAATAACTCAAGTGCAAACAATTACTTTGCAGGGTTCAACGATCTCTCAACCAACTTCTCGAGCCTGAATCAAGTGTCAATGGTCAGCGATGACACGGGCCTGAGCACGGAGCGAAACACGGAGATCTCGTCGAGGCACGAGGAGGAAGATATAGACTTGGACAATATGTGGAAGTGCTGAAGATTAATTAGGTTCGTTTGCTTAGGTAATATATATACTTGTGATGGATGTAGAGTGGAAATTTGGATTTGTTATACAATTTACAGAGGATTGAAATAACAAGAATAGATGCATATTGTTTGTGTGGAGTTAGCAACTGATATAGGCTTATTTATATATTTTTTTATTTTGATGTTAGCTAGGATTGTAATGTATGTTTTGTTACGTAAAATTGGTGATGGATAATTAACTAATTGTTGGTTGGATTTTCTCATTGCTTTTGGGGTGGCATTGAGCGTTATAATTCACTTATAACACTATCATTTTTCATTTTTTACACAAACACGGATCATAATCATGCATACATCAAGCTGTAGACTGCTATGGTTGAAAAAGTTACATCTAACTGAATTTTATAGGATCCCAACCATTTAAGTACTCATTCTGAATTCATGAATCTCACGATAACTTGTCGCTCTAAAATCCAAAGGGGCCACCAAGACGATAACATGATTCAAATCCCACTCGTTATTCCTTCTCTTTAACCGTTATTTCCTGTTATGGCCTCAAGCTGGGTGGCTTCGTTAGGACAATAAAGAGAGAGAGAGAGAGAGAGAGAGAGAGAGAGAGGTAATCATGTTGAAGAATTTTGAAATGAATGGCACTATTAATGTGATGTTTTAATTTTGGGGTTTCTTTTTTTTTGTTTGTATATATATATTGTATATATACCCTTTAAATCATGTGCATTTGCAGACTATCCCAGAATCCCACTATCGGCAAAACCAGCCTTGAAACAATCAACTTTGAAAGGAAAAAAAAAATACGCCAAACAGCAAATCATCAATTTTGTTGGATATGATGAGTAGAAGTTCTATTTTTGGAAGTGTTGTTAGTAAAGTTGATTTAAGGGGTATATAAACATAAAAAGCCCTTCACTTTTTCAATTTAAGATTTTTAATTTAGGGTATAACTAATAGCTTGCTTTCTATGAGAAGCAAAGGGTTTTAGTTCATACTTTAGCCTTGCTTTCAGCAACTGCCCACCTTTCATGCATCAAAATTAGGGACACTAGGCGAGAGAAAGAGAAGAAAAGGATGGGAATATTCTTCTTGATTAGTGAAATCTAATGACTAGCTTCTTTATGGAATACAATTCATCATAATTATATAGCTCACCTTGACGAAGCAGAATATCTTTTGGGTTTTAAACAAGTGGATGAATTCAAGCTATATTATATATCCATTCATTCTGAATATTTCTTAACGGTTCGCATAATGAAATATGTAATTGAGTACCCCTGATAAAGAAGAGAGAATTCATGATTATACATTTAATTCAAAAGTTTATAAAATGGCGGCCGGATTCCAAATTTGCATGTGCGTAACAATTTTATAATTTGCATAGTTGGAAGAAAATTACTTAGAATTAGTGTCCACTGGAGTTCCTTAATTTGAGTTCTTGCCTTCCATGCATGCTTTCTAATGTGCATTTGGTGTCATTCGCCTTGTAGTTATTGTGTACTTTCTTAAATTAAACAATAAAGGATAGAGGTTGAAGCTAAGAAGGAAAATGTAGAAGTGTATAGATTGAACAAACAAAAAGAAAGTAGGATTCCAAATGGAGCAAAACTTGCAAAAATTAAGTTTATTGAGATCATAAAAATAAGAAGAATAATTTCATTGATGAGGTAACCTTGGAGGACATGGCTATCTTTGTAGTAATTTATAATAAAGAATATTAATGTATATGGAAATGTAAATTCCATGGGATTTAGGTATATTATGAGGAATCAGATAGAGTTAATAGGTCATAAATAGAGGCATAAAATCAGCTTAGTTTAAAAACTGAAGCTATTAGGTACCGTAATTTTCTTTTTCAGCTCATTGTTCCTTCTTAACTTCTTCAAAAGGGGACTATATGATGAAAACGGCGAAGAAAAATAAGACGTGCACAGGAGGAGGCTTATCGGTCGACCGATCGGGTCTGATCAGTCGACCGATTCGACCGCAAGCAAATTACAGGAGTTTCGGGACGGTCGACTGATGCATTTGATAAGTCGACCGATAAACATGCACAAGCAGGAAATTACGCCGATCGGTCGACCGATGCACCGTTATATATCGATCGACCGATAGCGGGTAAAACTGTTCCTAGCCTGTTTTGGATTTGATTTTGATATAAAAGAAAACACGTTTTGTTAGGGTTTGGTGGAGAGAATTTGGATTTGTTTGAGCACTTTGATAGGGAGATTATTGTGAGGGAGTGAGAAATCTTTGGTTAGGGTTATTTTGAGTATTCGTGAGAGTTGTAACCCGTTGTTTTCTCCTCCATATAGTGAAATCTCCCCATCCTCTCCCCATGGCCGTAGGCAATTTGTCGAACCACGTAAATCTCTGTGTTTATGTGTGATTTTGGTTGTTCTCTTTGTGAATTGTGCTCTTTGTTGTTCTCCTCTCATTGCTCGACTACTCGTTTGGTTTGTACGCACGCTTCCGCCGTCGAGCAACAATTGGTATCGGAGCTCTAGGGTTTCAGACCTAGGGTTTGGTTTGGGTGGAGGAAATTTGGTGTTGGAAGCTTGGATCTTAGAGTTCTAGGCTTTAATGGGGATAGAGCTACGGAGTTGCCGTTGGAGATCTCGTCTTCCTCATGTGGTTGGGAGTTCGTTTGGGATCCAATCTAGGGTTCAAGTCGGGTAATTTCACAAATCTATCAAGTTTGAATCTTTCATCTACAATTCAGAGTTAGCAAGCAATGGCATGAGATAATGGTGAAAGTAGCAAGGCTACGATGAGTATAGTTCAAGTTGTACTTTAGAATACGAAGATTAGTGTTGTGAAGTATGACAGCAAGATCAACTTTGAATTGTGGATGAGTGATGTGCAAGATGCATTAAATGCTCAAAATTTGGAAGAGATTATTATGACTTATGAGAGGTCACCGAAGTATGATGAGGCGATATGGGACAAGATGAATCAGAATGCTTGTGGGGTGATTAGATCTTGTTTGGAACAAGAGTTAATATACGATGTTATCGGCGTGACATTTGCGATGAAGATGTGAGAGATTCTCAACAATAGATATCTTACGAAGAGTGTTGAGAATTAGTTACACTTGCTGTGGAGATTGTTCAAATTCTAGATGTCCTGGCCGGGGTACCCCACTTGCAGATCATGTGAACAATTACACAAAGTTGTTATCGGACTTGGCGAATGTGGATGAGAAGACATCAGATGAGTACAAGATGATTATTTTGTTAGGCTCCTTACCCGATGAGGAGTATGATACACTCGTTCTTACTTTGTTGAACAATAGATCTTCCATCACACATAGTAAAGTGACTAACATGTTGACGAATTTTGACTTGAGGAGGAAGGATAAAGAGTCTTCCAGAGCTAGCACTTCAGGAGAAACTTTGTCGACGAGAGGAAGGAGTCAATATCCAAGAGGTGGTAATCGAGGTAGGTCAAAGTCTAGAGGCCACTACTATATTTCAAAGAACCAGTGTGCCTTTTGCAGAAAACAAAGACATGAGAAGAGAGATTGGCCGAAGCTCAAAGAGAATGAGAATAGCAAGAAGAATGGGCCGAAGGCTAGCGAGGTGAATGTCGCTAAAGGTGGTGATGATTCAGATAATTCGTTCTTTTCTCTAGTGCTACTTATCATGCGACTCCCTGGAAAGTCTGGTTTGCATCTTTTGAGAATCTCGATGAGGGTGTGGTGGTCATGGGAAACGATCAGTCCTGTGGCATTCGTGGGATAGGTACCGTTAGGATTTGAATGTACGATGGAGTTATTAGAGAGTTAGATGAAGTGAGATTTGTTCCTCAGCTGAAGAAGAATCTTATTCCTATTGGAGCTTTAGAGGCAAAGGGATTCAATGTGACTTTTAAGAATGCTGTAAAAAAAGGTTACTAAGGGATCTTTGGTAGTGATGAGGGGAATCCGCAGTAGAAATTTTTATTATCTGAAAGGAAGCACCGAGATTGGCTAGGTAGCTTCAGCAGTTTCAGAGACAGATGTGAGCAGATTTTGGTACTACAGATTAGGGCACATAGGGGAAATCACTGCAGATGTTGTGCAAGTAGAGATTATTAAAAGGAGCCAAGAGTAGGAAGATTGAATTCCGTGAGCATTGTGTTCCTAGCAAGAAGACTAAAACGAAGTTCGGGATAGCCATTCAGAGGACAAGAGGCATCTTGGACCACGTGCACACGGATCCCACCAAGACGATATCACTTGGTGGTTGATATTGGTTTGTCATATTTGTGGATGACTATTCTAGACGTTGTTGGGTGTACACTATGTCAAATAAGAGTGAAGTCCTAGAGATATTTGTAGAGTGGAAGAGAAGATTGGAACTGCAGATAGGGAGAAAGATCAAGACGTTGAGATCCGACAATGGTGGAGAGTATACCTCAAACCCCTTTCAGCAACTATGTCAAGACGAGGGTATAGAGAGGCACTTCATAGTTAGTCATACATCACAGCAGAATGGGGTAGCAGAGAGGTTGAATCAGTCTTTACTGGAGAAGGTTCGATGTTTGTTATCGCAAAGTGGTTTAGAGAAAATCTTTTGGGCTGAGACACTTACATATACGAGCCATCGTATTAATAAGCTACATTCATCTACAATAGAGGGGAAAACTCTTATGGAGATGTGGTCGGGAGAGCCAACACATGACTATGATCAGCTCAAGGTATTTAGGTACCCTATATTTTATCATGTCAGAACTGATAAATTAGAATTTCGAGCTAGAAAGACCATATTTATGGGATTCAAGCATGGTGTGAAAGGTTATAAGCTTTGGGATCCAATTGAGAAGAAGATTGTGCTGAGTAGAGACATCACTTTTGATGAGGCTTCGCTCTTGAAGCCTTCCAGCTCTCATTAGGTGGAGAGCACCCCGACAGAGAAAACATCACAGATGGTGAAGATTGATGCAGTTCCACATAGTCCATATGAGAACATATCTATTAGAGTGCCAACTAAGGTGACGTCAGGCAAGCACATTGATGATTTGGAGGATACAGGTACGACAGAGAAGGATCAGGGACCGACGACTCTGGTTTAGGATTCTATTATGGTTCGGAGACTCAGGAGAGACATACGGTTGCCAGCGAGGTATATAGATACAGTTGTTGC